ACAGACACTATGTCTACTTTTAAGATCAGGCTTAAAACTTTCCTTTTTGCTAAAGCATATAGTTGGCTGGATCAGGTGACCCTGAATGCTCCCTTAGTTATGCTGCAATAGGTGTAGGCTGCTGGGGGATTCCCAGTACTTCTTCTTCAATCACCTTTCTCTTGTTAATAGACCTCTCTGCATTGATTGCACTGCTATTAATCTCTGGCTCTCTTCCACAGCATGTCTTCCTTCTCTCCCCAACTGGTCGCTGCAGATGGCCGGCCCTGAGCCTAGTTCTGCTTACTTGCCTGCTTACTTCCTGTTAAAAGGGAGTTTTTTTCCTTCCCACTGTTGCCAAAGTGCCTGCTCATAAGAGGTCATTTTTATTGTTGGGTTTTTCTCTGTGTGTTATTGTTACCAAACAATATAAAGTGCCTCGAGGTGACTGTTGCTGTGGATTGGCGCTGTATAAATAAAATTGAATGGAATTGAACTAAATATTTCATGTATGACTTTATTAGTCTTTCATGTATGGAGGGATTTAACCCCTCCTGGAACCTCTTCCAAAAACTAGTCATACTTGTTTAATCTTCTTCTAATTGTACTGCCACTAATTTTAATATTTAACAAACTAACTGAGGCCGGTAGAGGCTGTGGCTTTCTGTTTTTTGTGCAGTTTTTTTTTTTTTTTAGCACTGCATGGTCTGACCTTGGGATGAATTTACTGGGATATATATGCATAGTATTTCTCACTGTACACTGTTTTTGGGAAATGGCCTCATAGCCCTTCCCAGATTGATAGACAGCAGTGGTTTCTTCTCTCAGACATTGCTGATATCTTTACTCTGTAACTTTGTTTTATACCGGTGCTCACACTTGCTGATGAGAAATTAATCAAGTGCATTTGATTAGCAGCAGCTGGCTTCTACTTAAACTCTTGGAAGCAGTAAAGGTGAACTTAATTTTTCACACACTGCTGCTTCACCTAGCCTGAATCTTTTCTACATGAAAACTTATGAATTAAAAGAGGGTGGAACTTCTCACTATTTATGCATCATTCACAAATAGTGATGTTACCAGTAATAATAAAGATAAACTCCTTACACTTTTCCTTTGCTAAGTAGATACTGTAATTTAGACTCCCCAGTTTAAACTTACTTTGGAGGAAAAAAATTAATTACTGTAAAGCATTCTGTGAGAAACATCGGTATCTGGAAATAATCACATTCCAATGTTATAGTTTAGACATCTCAGTCTGGAATCAAATGGGTGACTAACCAACACGTTGGCATATATTACCATTTCAGTTACATAAGAAAGCAAACACTGTGGAAAAAAAACACATTGGTTTTTACGGGAATGTGCAGACTCTGGGTCATTGCACGGACAGGGCTAGATCAGGTCAGAAAATGTTTTGCAACCTTGAACAACGGCTCATCTACATCCCACTGACAGGAATCTTGGAAATTCCTGTAAGTACAGGTTCAATTTGACTACACTGAATTTTGCATCTCAGTTTATCACGCTCTGTGTGAAATTTCCATAGTGGCATCTGATAACCCCGGTGTATACTGTATATTCGTAGAGGTTGCCTGGTATGCGGATGTTACTGTTGTTGTTAAGGAAGTGTGTGTGTAATATCTGC